CAAATGCAAAGAAAGAGCAAATGGATCAATAATAACCTTAAGCTATCTGATCTTGTATTTGATTGAGCAAATGTTTTACCCTTTGTAAACAAACACATAAATTTAGTTATAATATAATAGACTTCTATTTCACTGAGAACTAAACTGTAATGATAGATTATTGTGAGTCATCTGTGTTAGCAGAGTTAGGAAGCAGGCAATTACCATAGGTGCTATTCTGCTTTACACCATGTTTTCTCTTGAGAATTGTTCAGTGATCAAGCTTCATTTTGTACATTGCAATTATTTTAATATTATATCCAAATCTAGGGAAAAAGAAAAGGTTGGTAAATGTTGTCTCTTGATGGCACAAATAATAAAGCATATCCTTTAGTCCTTGCATACCTGGTTAAAGAGAAGAAGTTACACTCTGAGGGCTTCAGTCATGACTATGTGCATTAAAAAACCTACAAGAATTATGACAAACTCACTTTGGAAGAACAAAACAATTCTGTTTTGTGCCAAAAGCTGTTTGGCTTTCTGGGCCAGTGTGACAGTGCCTGGAGAAGGCCAGTGAGGAAGCTGAAGCTTACATATGCTGTGTACATGGAGTGCAGCACTGGGACATAGCTCAACAAGCAGTGAGAGACCCACACCATATGGAGTGGTGTAGGACCCAGGGAGAGCCTGGGCATTCCTAGAAGTAGTAGTACAGACAAGGAAATGGTAGAGAAAGGAATTCTTTGTTTGCCTCTGCAGTAACAGGGCTCAAACTGCTCAGAAAGCCATCAAGAGTTGCCACATTATCTTGTGTTAACTGCATCTTTCTGCTGCAGCTTGTGGATGTGCCTTTTGGAAAGGTGAGCATTTAGTTCTCCTGGTGCTATTCAGGGGTTTCTGGCCCCTCTGTCTTCATAGCACATTGTAACTCTGTGAGACTCTGCAGAGCCAGAAAGCATATACTTTCCCACCTACAGGTTCCTTTTTGGGTATACCTTGGGACTAAAGTCTTGGTAAAGCAACTAGGTCAAGAGAATGAAAAACAAAGAAAATTGACATTTGCTCTAGTTTTCTCTAAATTAAAAAAAAAAAAAAAAAAAAAAAGTCCAGCATAGAGCTTTGGCTGCTAGGATAGTTGATATTCGTGATGCTTCAAAGTGGGTTTTCTTTTCTTTCTGATATTTTTTCCCCCGGCCTTCCAAAATGTGAATTAGACTTTTACATTGCTGAAGGTAGGATAACACAGAAATATTATCTCAACATTATGAAAATGCTGATTAAATACCTACTTTAGGATTTCATGAAGATGTTCAGAAAGCTGTTAAATGTTCCATTTAATTTTCAATTTTTGAAAATTCGTCTATTGTGTAAGTTAGTTGCGTTAGATTTTGGGGGTTCATTTCTGATGGAGTGGAAAATGTAAAAGACGTGAAGCTTTTTGCCTAATTTGATGATGTTGTCTTAGTGAATTTCAGCAGATTAGGTATCCCACATTATAAGAAAGATTTTGATGATCAAATTCAACAGGTTTTTTAAAACTGCTCTTTTAGAGGTCAGCTTCTGAATTCTGCATTCAGGTCAGAGCTCAAAGTCTGACCCTTAGGCTTAACACACATAGTAAAGAAGTATGTTCTTTGTAACTAAGAGGCAGACTTCCAGTGACAGATATTTTTAGTCCAGTATCACTCAAACAGCCTGACTGAATTACTTCACAACTGTAAGAGAATTGAACATAAGGAAAACAATTTACACTGAGCCTGACAACTGGAGAGCCAAGGTCAGTGTCATTCCACAATCTAGATTGCATTGGGGAATTGCTTAGAAACATTTTGTATTGTTAATTGTTTTATGGCTACCCTGGAGTGAAAGTCTGCTTTATTCCCAAAGCTGAAACCATGAGAATGTAACGTTTTGTTTTTAAATGGACAGATTTATGTCAATGAGGAGGTATTCAAGTCCCAGTACAGGATGTGGTCCAACTTCTCTCTCAACAGCCGTGCTTGCTGTGTCCCCTACTTTTGAGTTATGCCCAAGTGAACAAGCCACAGACACACTATTTGCTATATTGAAATCAGGTAGTGCTCAAAAAATATAATCATCCTTTTTGCCCAATCAAATTTGGCTCCCTGCACTATTACAAAAGATAGAGGAGAATTGAGACATTTTCCTCCGGCATGCCTCTTTGCCTTTTGGTATAGTGTGTATTTCAGACTGTGATTCCACTGGGTCCTTGCCAGGGCATCCTTGGAGATGATGCTGGTGTTGGCTGGCCTGGAAGTATCTCCTGATGCTTCCCCTCTCTCCTCTGGTGTGGTCGTGCAACAAGTAGGGAACAGATGTTGCTGAAAGCTGACAGGTTGCTGCTTGGGAAGGAGGGGAAGGGAGACAGGGCAGTGCAGTAAAAGGGGGCAGCTGGAAGCTGGTCCCAGGCTGGAGAAGGGGAGGGCAGATCTTGAGCTTTCAGCACTGGCTCACACAGATTTAATAAAAGCAGCTGAATTTGAAGAAGAACGTTGTTCAAGTAACCAAGGCAACTGATGGACCTCAGCAAAATGATTGGCTTTGCTAATTGTATTTATTGCAAGATTTGGCAGAGTTAATTGGAAGAAGGTGGTATTATTTTTGACTGCTTAGAGTATTTCTCTGTAAATAAATGTCAGCTGAGCTGGATTCCTTACGTCTTTCTTGAGGTCTGCTTTTTCTAGTGGTTGCATGGGAACCACTGTACCACTGTATTAATGTGACTAATACTCTGTGTAGACACAAAAGTACAACAATCCCCACAACAAAGAAGCAAATAACACCCCCTACCTGCCAACAGGTATCAAAAAGAGTTTAGCAAAAGATATTGTGGGTATTAGGAAATAATTAGAATATTCTGAATTATCTTAAGGAACTACCATTAAGAAAAGCATTGGTTTCAGAAAAACTTGTTCAGCTCAGTATAAAACAGTATCTTTTGTTTTGTAGTTACTGAGACTTTTTGCTGTACTTAAACAGTATAGCAATGAATACACTTCCCCTGAATTTCCTTGAAAAGTAGAATCATATTATCATTTGAATTAGTTAACCAAGGCTTATGTAAAATGAAAAAGATACTTGTGCTGAAACAATGGAAGTATGCAACCCTACTGTATGTAACAGGAGAATGCACATGCTGTGTTATGTGTGGGTAGCTGCGTGTGCAGATGTACTGTGGTAGGACTTGGAAGTTGAATAGGGTTAAATTCTTAGAGGTGATATATGGGATGTGGTTTTCTTAAGGGTACTTTAGTGACTTTTCAAGTTTAACTTGAGAAATATGAAAGAATTATTTGAGGACTAAAGGATTATATGAACTTGAATACTGACCAAGTTAACACAAAAATAAAGGGGGCTTTGCCTTCTGAAAAGTTGATATTTATTTGTGCCAAAGTACAAGACCTCTAAATGCCACAGGAACTTTAAAGTTCTGCTTGACATGGGCTGAATTAACAGTAATGTTGGATTTGTGCAACCAAATAAAATATTTTTGTTGTGACTGTTTATTGAAAATTAATTTTTCTGGGACTGCATGGCAATCTATTAGTTGGGTTCTCATGAAGGAAGCAAATAACTTTAGGGGGCCTTTCAGTGTATTGTATAAAAAATGTCAAGTTCTTCAAGGTTTTGCCTTGTAGAGCTAAATTTCAAACTACTTTTTTTCTGTTCTTGAAGACAGCAATTAACATCCTTTACAATCACAGAGCTTGTGAAATGCAAATTGTAATATTTTTAGATGCAGAAGTTTTAGTTGAATTTATTTCCTGTTTACTGTAGTGAAGGACCAATTAGCCATGCTAACTAACATTCTCTGCAGGCCACATCACAGCTTGCTGTGTTTCTGTAATTCTGGCTACCAAGCTCAAAATACAGAGGTAGAGCAGGCAAAAGTCCTATTGATTCAAGCTTGATTTTATCCATCTTTCAAGGGAGTATTTACTACTTACTGCCTGCACAGTAAAGGAGGATGAACCCTGTTAGTTGGTGACCATGAAGAGGTAATTGCTAGTTTTTGAAGACTGTAGGCTAATTCTTAAAAAAATTATTTTTCTTAATAATTTAATACTCAGGACGTTGACTAACAGTACTAAGTAGTGGATCTGTTTTTGCTGATGAAACCTGTGACTATTTTACTTTTTGATTTTTAGGGATCTTAGAATCTATTTGCTAATTTTGCACAGTATGAAAATTTGATGGTTTTCAGGAGTTGTACTTAATACTAAAGAGTCATTTCAGTACTTTTTTCTTATTGTGAAGATGAGCTGTCAGTATCTGTGTCAAACTCTGCTGTCTGAACAAGCAAAAGGAGTCTTTAATAGGTCTGTCAGCACTCAGCCCCACTGAGACAAAACACAGCCTTACAAATACATAAATGCTGACTCAACAAATTTATTGTATCTGAAGCAACTCTTGTTGGACTTTTCCAAGCACATTTGAAAGAAATTAATAGTTTTTCCACTTCTGGTTGCTAGAGATGTGATGGAAAGCCAGTCTTTGCTATGTAGAAATAGTCACTTTGAGAAGTACTTCCTTGCACATGCAGTCATTCCAATAAATAGGGCTGGTTAGTATAAAAAGTAAAAATGGACAGTAGAAAGAGTACAAATTTTAAAACCAAAATGCTTAAGGATAGTGTATATAGATAGAGTAAATGAGGATTTATTTTTGCAGCCTCACTGTGAATGTGTTTGAACTCTGTCTCTCGGCATGAATCACAGGTTTGGAGGAGAATTAGGCCAGAGCTTACATGAGTTTGATTGCTTTACATTAAGGTTATATGAGCTTGTTCCTAAGGATACATTAACAGCAACAACTAGAAAGTTATTTTTGGAGGAGGTTCTACCAAATATTTAATACATTAAATATGAATTTAGCGTGAAGTGGATTAAGATGTGCAAGTGTTCCAGTGGTTTTTAATCTCAGCAATAAATTGCATTTGCAGTGCTTTGCAGTTATCCATGTAAAATTGTCAGTGTTGAGAGCTGCTGATCATTACTTAGACATTTTCTCTGTCACCCCCAGGAAAGATGTCTCGAGACCGGGCTCTCAGGAAGCAGCAGCAGCTGAATAATTTGGTAGCAGCAGTGACAAAACTTGCAAAACCTGGAGATTTGATTGTGGATTTTTGCAGTGGAGGGGTAATGTATGTTTTTGTTTATGTGGTGCAATTTCTTTCAGCTTTCATCTTTGCAGTGCTAGGTGGTTGCTGCTGCAAAGAAAAGCAGATGTGCAGATGCTGAATTTTAGCTGCTTTCAAAGGTTCTCTCATTGCTACGGGGATGCTTATCACATAATTAGTGAACAACAGGGAACACTGAAAAGTGACTCAGATTTTGTTGTTTCTTTTTGTTTTCACAGGGCCATGTTGGTATTGTTCTTGCTTATATGATGCCATCATGTCAGGTAAATCCTCAATAAAAAGATTTCTGGTAATCATCTTAAAAAGATGTGTATGTAGAGAGGACATATAGAGGTCACAGTTGTCTCAGCAGAGGACTTAGGATTGGAACATGCAAACTTTTTAGCATAATCCCCAAATGAGTGTGATGCTTTCCAGAGAAGACAAAGGTGGTAGGAAAATATAAAATATTTTCGAGCTGATTAATATTGGCAAGTATTAAATGTCTTTGATTGTTCCCGGGTTTCCAGCTAATCATTTTGTAGATCTCAGACTCTGCCACAAGTGATTCAGAGGTTTTCTCAACAAACTACAAAGTTTTCTGCTTGATAATGTTGTACTTTGATTTCTCAGTATTACTTTGCCTTACTTTCTCCGATGTGTGTCATTTAGGTGGTACTCATAGAAAATAAGGAGTTATCTCTGATCCGTGCTAAAGACAGAAGTGATGAACTAGGTTTAAACAACATTTGGTTCATTCAAGCAAATTTGGACTATTTTAATGGGACTTTTAACATTGGGGTAAGTGATTATAACTTTTCCACTTCAAAACTTCTGTCTGATTAATTATTCTTAAAACAACTGATATACATGAGAGAATAAAATTCACAGTCTGTATAGACATACAGAAAGTAAATGAGATTAATCTTCTGTCTAGAATTTTGCAGCCCTAGTGAAGAATAAGGCATAAATAGTATTTTGTCTCTCTGTGAATATTCCTGTCATCTAGGTTTTTATGCTGTTAATAGAATATGCACCTGTGAGGCAAGGTGCAAGCTTTCCATGCAAGACTGACTGTTCTTTAAATCATCCATCTAAAAGCCTGTTTTGACTAGCTGGGGATAGGTAATGCTGAAGGTTTATGGTACATGAACAGTGCTGTTTAACTGTTTGGTTGGTTTGTTTAAGAAAGGAAAAGAAATTTAATGCAGGAGAAAGAGGAGAAAATAAATGGTTTTAGCCCAGTCCTTCCAAGTGCAAATTTCCAATTCTCTGGTTTTATTTTCTGTGCTACATTGTCATATAAATCTCAGTGCGTGAACTAGAGAACTATTTCAAAATACCAGGATCTCATGAATAATACACTGAATTGTGTGTGTGAAATGCTTAATAGTTGTTTTATGAAGTGAGTCTCCAATTTTGTGGTCATTGGAATTCTGGTCTTGATTTCTGGGGGCCCATTTTAAAGGTTAATACAATGTTAACCCTGTGGTTGGAGTTTTTAATAAAAAAAGCATTATATTCTCTCTTTCAAGTTTTGTGACAAGGGAGTTATTGAAGTATATGTCAGAAGAGTTCACTTGGAAATTCTTCTTTTCCAGCCCTTCATTTCCAAATATCTGCATTAGTCTTCACATTTTATTTTGTTTCACATAGTGAGTTCAATATATAGGGTATACTGAGAAAGCTTTGTCTTGAATTTTATTTGGAATTTTTTCTTAACTAAATGGGTTTTCAGAAAGCCAAAGAAATCATTTGGTATAACAGGTCATAAAGGCTCAGCAAAGCTACTGGTTTATCTGCTGCTGTTTTAAGGTCTCTTTCTGCAAGCAAAAAGAGCAAAGCAGAGAGCTAGCTTTGTTTTCTACTTGGATAGATGAGGAAGTAACTATAATTGCATTCCATGATAATCTGATAGCTGTGATATTAAGATTCTATTTCTGATGTTAAACTAGTTTTATTTTTATTGTTAAATTCATATGAGCAGAAAATTTCATTGTGCAATTATTTTCTTATTAATTTTTTAGTGTTTTACCTGAGACAAGAATATTTGTTTCCATCTGTGTGCAATTACAGTTCAGTTGATGATTAATGGTCTCCTCAGCTGAGCTTACAGCAAGCAGACTGGAAACAAAAAAGACTTTGTTTTAATCTATATCTGAGAGCAAAGTTTTTATCTTCCAGTTGCTCTACCTTGAAAAACAGCTTTGAACCCTGAAATTTGAGCTCTGCAGTCTTAAACCTCTTCTCTAAACGTACAGTGAACTAAAAACAAAGCAAGTAATGTAGTTTAATAAATCCACACTGCTGCATAAAATCAGAAATATGCCTCAAAAACATCCTTAGTTTAAGTATGCACCAGGTCTACTCTTTGTGGTGCTGAGCACATGGCAGGAGGCAGAGAAGGTAATGCCCCATTTCAGTGGTGCATTTGGCATCCCAGCTGTAGACAGGAGAGAGCTGCCTGCGTTCCCTTGCAGTATATTGAGTACTGCAGTCATTTGCTTTTCTGTAGGAGAGCAGAAAGAATTTGGGTGCAACCTCTATGTTGCCCAAACCCGTCAGTGCTCGCAGGTAGTTGTGATCAAATGTTATTTTAGTTTTAGTTGAAGAGCCCCTCACTAACAAAAAGAAATACAAGAATAAGGAGAGGAAAAAAATAATTAAAGGAGGGCAAGTTGTATTTGATGCCTCCCCTAGCTCCAGTGTTTGTTTCCTATAGATTTTACTCAGTACTTGAAAATCAAATTATCTAAATGTATGCATAATTTTTTCCTTTAGATATGACCTTCAGGTATATCTGCTTCTTCTCATACTGCTTAGTTGAAATCCAGTTTTGACATAGTTCTTTCTGTTTCTAGGTCCTTTTTGCTTGACAAAAACTTTTTACAAATCACCACATAGTTTTTCTGTTATTATGTATTCCACAACTACTATTTTTCCTGGGGATTTGTGTTTAATTTATTTGAGATGACAATGAAGTGCACCTGCCTTTTGAGTGCTTTTGGGGAGTGACCCTTCTTCAGTGAATGTTAATGAAATGCACCCTAAATTTTCCTTAACATAGATATGAAGGAGAGAAATGAAAAACTGGAGAATTAAGGACCAGGCCTTCTGTGTAACAGCTTTAGTTGCAAAAATTTCCTCATGCATTTAATTAACTAAGTCAACCAAAAAAAATGCTGGATTGTATTTAGAATGTTCCAATGACGAATTTCCCTGTTTTCTTGGTTGTTTTTCCTGCTGTAGGTGGCCCTGCACGCCTGCGGGGTGGCCACAGACATGGTGATTGAGCACTGCGTCAGGGCACGGGCAGCCTTTGTCATCTCCCCCTGCTGCTACGGCTTCATTCAAAATACAGTCAAGTTCAAATATCCACGAAGGTAAACTAAAGCTTGCAAGATAAACCCTGAAATACCAACTTAAGGAATAAAATCCTAAAAGAGTATAGGGTTAATCATTTGAGGGTCATTGAGAGTGACCAGGCTAAGCTGATTCACACTTACAATGAAACTGTTTCCTCCTGTTTGTCAACCCATCCTCATGGGCAGATTGGTAATTCCTGAATTATTTTTTTCTGGATTTATCTATTCATGGTTCAGAAGGCTTTATACAATCAACATAGTAGATACAGTATCTTCTATGCAGACCTTCTACCTTAAAATCACAAACTTAATAGAAAACTCATGAAAATTACTTTAAGAAGGGGAATTGACATTTTAATGTTGGAGGAAGATGTAAGCAGTCAGTTTAAAGAAATGGGTCTGCTTTATACCACAGTTTACTGCTTGTAGAACTCCTTTGATTTATTCCCAAGTAGATAAGCTCTCCTGTGTTTCAGTTCATATTTTTAATACTTTTTCAATGGATTGTGTACATATTTTGTCTTCAAATATGCCTTGTGGGAGATACTAATGTATCTCTTACTTAAGAATTTTAATGCCTTTGATATAAATAAAACATAAAAGATAAGCAAAGTGGCAGAAGATAAAAGGTTAAACAGCTTCTGAGTCAGAACTAGGTGGAGGAAAAGGGTTGTGTTTTAGTTGGTGGATTTTTTTTGTTCATAAAACTGAGCTTTGCATTTTGGATATTGAAGATGAATTGGATTTAATTCTACCAGGAATTACATCAATGACTTAAGTATATGTTTGCTAAAATAAGAAACTGAAACATGCAGTCTTAAAAGGTATCAACAAATCTAAAAAGATAATATGCATTCATGTGAAATATTTTTCATACTTTTCTATAGTATCGAAGTGTTGTGGTACAGAAGTGTGTGGAAAGTAATTTTTTATAACTTATCAGTTTGATAACCTTTGCATTTAACTGTTCTTTCTTAGTCAATTTGATACTTCCATCTCTTTTGTTTTCTCTTGTGACACAATAATACAAATAAGTCTTCTAATGAAGAGGCAATAAAACTCCAAGCCTTCTAAAATTAACAGGCCTATAATTTTTCTCAGTAGATTTGTTTTAAAATTGGCTGGTTAATGTTTAACTTTTCACCAGCTTCATTTTTAGACCACAGTGACTGGAAATGATCACATAGAAAATTTTTGTTGCTGTGGATGCTGCAAGAATGGTTGTGTTTGCTGAAATTTTCAGTCTAATCTCATAAGTCTGTGAAAAACTATCAGCCTGGTCTTGAGCTACATTTTAGGGTTTGCTTTTTCTTTTTTTCCTTATGTTATATGATCATAAAACATGATAGCCTGGCCACATCCCCATAGTAGTTGTGTTCTGTACCCAATTCCATTGTAAAGACGCTTTAGCTTTGTGATACAAACAAAATATATGTGTGTGTTATTAAATATGTGTAATGTGTTTGTGTGACAGTGAGAAAACCACAGTAAGTACATGTTAGCATTTATAATGATTTAAAGAGAGAATTTTTATTAATAACCTAGGGAAAAAAAACACCACTAAATACACTTTTCTAGTGAACTGGAACTGTAATGGGTTTTGGTATTTTTAAAGCCTTTCTGTATGATACAGATATTGCTGGTTTTTAAAAAAATGTGTTCAAGTATATAATGATTGCTTCTATTTTCCACCTTTACTGTTTTCAGATGTGAATTGAATTGATCTATTTTTTTTTTTCAGTCATCAGTTCAAAGAAATTTTGTCCTACAAGGTATGTAAAAGGACAGAGGGAAGATGTTTGTGTGCAGTTTCTTGCATTTCACTGGGTCTTCTTAGCAAATGAAATATAGGTACTTATCTTCTAATTGCAAGGAGGGGCATGTGTTATGTGAAATGTTCATTATTAGAGCAGGTGCCATTGTGTTTTCTCTCCACCATCAATTTTAAAGGCTTTTTTCTTCAATAAAATTAAATAGTTTCTTCACAAAAAACCCATTTTTTTGTCATAATGTATAAGTGAGCTGTTCCTAAGGTACTTCAATGTGTATCAGTTAAAAATTACAGGATACCAATTTGTTTAGGTGTTAAATACAACTGTAGTAATAAACATTAGATTCCTCCCTCTAATATATTTCTAAAACGTTGGACATAGCAAATGGGAAGAGCTTAAACAGATCAGCAAGAATTTAATACAGTATTTATATTCTATGCAGTTTTAAAAATGTTGTTAAAAGTTATTTTAAATATTAAAGTGTGTTTTGACCCTGAGCAGCTGGGGTCTGTGGAAATAATCTGAGAGAAACGCAGGAGAAATTATCGCTGAAGCATACAGATCTGACAGAGTGCAGGGTAACAGGAGAGTGGAAAAGGAAGAGCAGAGAGGTGGGCAGCAGAAAACTGGTACTGATCTGTTAAGTTTTGTCGTGTGACTTTAAACTAGTTAGTGATGAGCAACCCAAAATTTGAGGGTTAGAGGCACTTAATGTGGCATGGAAAGAACATGTTTCCTTCTGAAAGAAGCAAGGTTATGTAAACTTACAGCTCAAATCCTAGACAGGACTCTTGGCTTTTACAATATAGGAGTGATTTTTGGAGGTGCAGAATAATTCTTTGTAAAAGAAATATGGAAATAAAGGAGGGTATTTCTGATAGCCAAATGCTTTTGGAAACAGTGGGCAGTGCAAAAATAATGTATGTGGCAGGAAAATAGAGATTATCCTCTTTGATCCCTAAATTAGAGAGAGTTTTAAGATTTCAGAAAATCTCCAGCCATCTTATAAGGGAAGGTCAGTTATCAGGTAATAAATGCCCAAAGATTGAGATGCCAGAAGCCACATGATGGATTATTTTTCCCGTGATTAATGTTCCTTTCAGCATCACTGTGACATCATCTCAAAGAACTCAGGTTTCAGCTCAGAAAAAAATATTTACTAGCATTATTAAACCTGCTGACAGTACAGAGAGAGATGGTGTCAATTATAAAGTCAAGGATGCCTAGTCTAGGACGGTGTGTATAATCTCATTGCAACTCAGTGAATTTCTTCTTAATCTGTTAAACCATGAAGATTTAAATCACGGGGTTTGTCAATACTGTAGAAGCTCCAGAATTTTATTAATTGTGTTGCAGAAGGCCACATGAGTCAAAGATAAGGCCAAAAAATATTGGTGCTCTTAGTAACATGAGAGTCTATACAATTGGTCTAGGCTGGTTGGTGCCTCAAATAATCCTGGTTATAAATAACTTCTGTTATGCAGCTAGCTGTATGTGTTTTTATATTTCATATTAATAAATTCTTACAGGTTATTGGCTAGCAGCCAGAGTTGCCATGTGTTAGCCAGACATTGTCTGTGTCACCCACTCCAGTTCCCATTTTAAATTAATTTCTCTTATCTTTCATTTTAGTGAGATCTAAAAAGACATCCAGAAGTCTGGCATTTCCAAAACTTTTTTGATGAGAACATTATGCTGTAATTCATTTGTTTATAGTTGCAAGGAATAACGTTATGCTAGCTGTAGATTTCTACTGGGATGCATTTTGAGATTCTGTCAAGACACAAGGAGAATTGTAAAGTAGAACTGTATAAATTTGCAAATACAGCTCTGGAAATTTAATAGAAATGGAACAGGTGGGTGTTCTAGTAAACAAGTTAACTGTTTATGCACACATTGGGGAGTTTCTAATCATTCCTTTAGAACTGCTTTTTTTATTTCAGCCAACAGGGAATATGACAATCATTGTGTCAGGGGGAAACAATGTAGTCATAACAGTGTCTAGTTTGTCTTTTTGGATCACTCTGTAAGAAGCCAAGGATTAGAGTCAGTTCAGATGTTCAGGTTAAGTGACATGACTTACCTTGGCTCCGGTCTGGTCCAAAGAGCTGGGAACTTGCTGTTGCAAAGAGCCAAATTCTGTCAGGTGCCTGAAGACTGGTGAGGAGTTGTGTGCTAACATGGGTCTTCTCCCTCTCCTCTAAATCCTTCTTTTGCTCCCCAAGCTACCTGTCACTGCTGCTTCTCTCCTAACAGTGGCCACATTGTCCATGGCACCCCTTCTTCTCTGTTCTTCAGTGGTCACACCTGGGTTTAACATTTTCACCTTTTTTGTACTATAGGAGTAGCCACATTTGAACTGAACTGACCAGGTGTAACATGTTTAAGGCCCTAAATGTGTTATGACATGTTCTTATTTTGCTTCCATATTTTTTATGAAGCTGTGAGCTGGAAACCTTCATGTCAATGCACTGTACTAGGGACCAAATATCCTTGCATCAAGGTATTATAAATATATTTAAATGAGTAATATTTGTGTATCAAGCAATGATAATATTTTATAGTATATGGGAAAGCTTTTTGCGGTCAAATGTCTGTTTATGAATTGAGTGGAGTGTACTGAGGAAATTGCCATTTTGATTTAAAATGAAGGGTTTTTGTGGAGTGAAGGCTTGGATGTTTATGGCTGTCTAAAAAAAGCTGGAGTAAGTATCCTTACTTCAGAATACTGGAAGAACCTGAAGTATCCTTAGGTGAAGTTGCTCTCTCCACCTGTTACAAGAACCAAATCTTCAAAATCATAATTTTATATCAGGCAAGAATAAAAAAAAAAATCTTTTTGATGCAAGACACATGTCCTTGTTTCAGAACTATAGCCCTGGAAGCTTTGCTTAGGAGAGCACTTTGCATTGTTGCCCATTTATCTTTTCTCCCCATGACATTGTGGGAGGTGTGAGAGTGTTGTGTGATTCTAAGATGGTTCTGATTTCCTCTGCCCTGTACTGAGAATTGCAGCTGTCCCACAAAGCACAGCTGTCACCAGAGCAGTAATTCCAGTGCCACACCTGCAAGGCTCTTGCTCTCTCCACCTGGCTAACCTGCCTTCCTTGCCTTGGCTGGTCTTTGAGGGGCCATTGTGCTGGCACGGGCGGTGGGCATTGAAAGCAAGTGAGCATGGGGCTCTGCTGCTGCCCCTCCCCTGCACCATCCCCCTGGCTCAGTGGGCAGGGAGAAATTCTTCTGCAGAAGTGTCTGCAGAAAATTTTATTGCAACAGGGGTAGTTTGAAACTAAATTGTGCTGCTTTTGTTGGAGGAAACGTTCCTATTCACCGCCAGGTATTTTTGCCTTCAGGATCTCATTGGATTTGGTGGGGCAGAGGAAGTTTGACCCACCAGCCTATCCTGGGATTCAAAATCACTACCTGGGAGAAATGTTCAAATCAGCTGTTAAAGAATCTTGTCTCAGCTGCTTATTGATGCAGGGAGGCTGCCCTATTATGACTGTGCTGAAAGATGGCTATGTTGCTCATCAGTTATTGAAGGCAAAATTAGTCTTCAGGATGTCTTTGAAGAATGCGGTCTTGTATACATTGCATCCCATTCAACTGCTGCAAAGAATTAGGAAGTTTAGCAAGAAATAAATACTTGTGAGGAGAAATGAGACAGTGATTACAAATACTTGACCTACACAAGTATTTGCAATATAAAAATTGGGATTTCCACACAGGTAAATTTTTTTTAGAAATACTGTCTTCAACGTGGTAGCATTTCTGATACACTTCAGCATTTAATCAGATTTTTCTTGATGAATTCTTTTTTTTGGTCTTTTTTATAGGAGCACATGATCCTTTGCAGATTTGCAGATCAGACAGCTGTTCAACTTCCACCTGAACGCAGGCTAATTGGTATGAATTTCTGCAGCTGTGTAAACCATCCCAGTAATGGTTTTACCTTGATACATAAAGGAAGAAGTAGGACATTTATGAGTGGGGCATTAAGTAGATGTCTTCAGATAACAGTTGAAAAATTTAAGTTTTGTCACGCTTCACATCTTGCTGTTCTATTCTTGCTATAGAAATGTTTTTCTTCATCCAAAATCATCAATATTCAAGTGAAATTTTGTTTTACTGTCTGGTATTGTTGTTTTGATGGAAGTTGTAAACTGGCTTCCAGGCCAGAAAAGACAGAAGGGGCTAGGAACTCTTAAGTCTGCTTAGAGATAAGTCTGCTTTTTTGGCTTAGAAGAAACATTTGGAAAGTATTAGTACTAGTTAATAAGCATGATGTTTTTAAGAAGCTTAATTTCAACAATTGAAAGTGTTTCTTACACTCGTTGCATAAAAAGCAAAAAATAGAGATCCTGTGTAAAAGCTGACAGTAAATTTGTCAGTTTCTTTTGTCATCATCACAATATTTGAAAAACAAATTTTAAAAAGGTCAATATTCATTTACTAGTGTTGGACACCACGCTGTGGACTGAAAATTGAAACGGACCCCAAATTTATTTTTTTTTAAAGATTGTAACTTTTCTCTGTTCTCAGTGTCTAAAACCACAGGGATTTTTTCCACAAATGTAACTTTTAAGGGTTTTGCCCTGACAGTGTGTATTATAATAATAATAATAATATTATTGTAGACAGTGGCCATTTTTTTGAAGCAACCACAGAAAGTGGTTTTCTATGAAACCACAAATGTGGGAGGATTGGGCTACAAAAGGTAGTTTGCAGAGTTCTGTCCTGGTTGGTTACATAAACTGGTGATTTCTCCCTGCAACATACAAATCTATACAGGACTGAGTTGGAAAAATCTTTTTCAGGCCCTCCCTTATTATTGTATCTTTAAATTGTCTCCAACCTAATTACTACCCTCCTCAAATCTCAAGCCACCAACAGAACTGAGGCCAAATGTCATAATAGTGAATTCAAAGCAGTGAAATTCTTTTGTAACTAAGGAATCCAGCTGAGAAGGAGAGTCCTGGCTGTGGACTCACTGTGGACAGACAGGGTAGGTTGGACTGAGCCCTGCATTCAATTGTGATATGTATCAACTGCTCTGAAATACAAGGATACTGCAGGGTGTGTTGGTGCCACCTGCCCCAAGCTTCTCAAGGCACCTGACCAGGATGCATGACAGGGTTGGTGATGATACAGGCACAAAAGCTCTTTATATATTCAGCGAAGAGAGGTGAGCTGTTCCAGAGGATAGTTTGGAATGCCAGACTCCTATTCCAAAGGAAAACGGGATGTGCTTCTCTCTCTTCATCTCAGACCCCAAATACATTTAACTAGACAATTCTGTCAGGAACAAGGGAAGAGGCAGGATCATTATGTTTGAGACTGAAGCAGGATTGTGCCCTGTTGACTTGAGACTTGAGACTAACTACTAGTGATAAAACATTCCAAAGTAGCATTAAATTTTTCTTTCAATAGAGTTTCAAGCTGCTGAAAATACAATCTGACAAGTCAAATCTGTTTTTCAGAACATGATAATCAGTTATAATGAGTAAATAAGTACAGACAAATGGTCCCATCATCTTGTCATGGCTGTATCATAATAAAAAACTTCTAAGCAGAAAAAACTCTCTATCCTTCCTGGGTTTTTCTGCAGGTAAATCTGAAATAAGCTTATTTTGCATTACCAATTTAATATGTTTGTTTATAAGTAGTTAGAATAATATGTCTCAAAACAATTACACTGGATCACTTTTTGGTATTTTAGTCTATTGTTCATGTTCAATCACCAGAGATTTTTCAGATTTTTTGGTGAAAGTACAGGAGGGAAACAGCTATGGTTATAAAGGGACTAGAAGTCTGGCAAGTCAGAGGGCTAAGGTGTAAACCAGGCATTTTTCTTCCCATTTACATTAAAGCATACTTTTTTTCTGTAAGTTTTGAGAATACTTTTAAATAGTTGTGCCTTTTTTCCATATATAAGGAGTTAATAATCTCTTCAAGGTCTTTGTAAAATGAGGGTTACAAGTCACAGATGTGATTTGGAACGTAAACCAGATTAAGATGTTTTTTAAAGTAGATTTGGAACTTATTTTTTAGATGGCTTACTGATGTGTTTTCCTAACATTGAATATTTACATGCACGTTTCTGCTAACGTTTCTACATTTTGAGTTTCTGTGCTCTCCCTTGCTCTCATTTTAGGAAAGCAGTGTATGGGACTTGTGGATCTGGATCGGGCATGGGCTGCAGAAGAACATAACTATTCTGTCCAAGTTATATCTATGGAGCCAGAGAGTTGCTCTCCAAAGAACAATATGTTTGTGGGCATCCCTACTTAGAGTGTGAAGCTTGCATTCGATTTGAAGCTGAACATAAATCTTCAGTGCCTAATGACATCCAGCAGATAGAGGCAGCGCTGGGAAGCAGACATCCCGCATCTTGAACGCATTGCCTTCGGAAAGGGAAGCAGCCCCCAAACCCTGAAAAGCAAACTGCATGCAGATCATCACAAATCAACTTGTAATGTGTCATTAAGCAACTTTTGGTTCTCATACTGAGAAGTTTCTGGATCTAATGACTGTGCATGGAATTATATCCATCTGTAAATGTTTAGAAAAACTGGCTTTGTTGAAGGAAAGGTGATTTCCTTTTCAGTAAAGCTGTGTCTTGGCTGCTTGGAAATTGCATTCGTGGTCAAAACAGCGTTTGTGTTCGTAAGCAGAGCAGTTATCAGCCAGCAGTGCTGATCACCAGAGGAACAGAGAAGATCAAATTTATTGTGTTACTGAAGATGGCTGTGCAACAGGTGGTGGCCTGACTTTGCTAAAGAATTCCATACTACTGTAGGAATATTATTTTTAATAAAAGTTCATCACAATACTTTGGCCTTAATCTGAATCTGCTTATTAACAATGTATACTACCTTGCCAATATTTTTTTTTAAATACTTCAGATTTACTTTTAAATAATATGCAGGGATTCTGTAACCAGGCATTTGACATTTGGCTTAAAGAAGCCAAACTCCTCATTATCCATTGACCAGAAAGTGGGAGCTAGACACTAGATATTAGTGAATGGATCCTTCGCTGTTGCATTGGTAATAGAAGTGTGTTGATTCCCATTCCTAAGAAATTTGCTATCAGAAGAAATGTTTAAGAACAGTTCATATGTCTACATACATCATCTTCACTGATTTTATGTTCAGTTTAAAATTTGACCAAAGTTGCAGAGTGGAACCATTTGAAAAGATAATCACGGTTACTCTGCTCTAAAATTAAAATAAGCGTTCTCCTGTGCTCCATTTTCCCCCTAATACAAACACAAAGGAAGGTAGCTCCTAATGAGATTTTTACTGCATGTTTAGAGGTATTACACATCTGTGAATTCTGCCATGTTTCAATTTAAATAATCTGAAGTTTGAAAACTGTGAATGTAGCTTCCAGGTGTGGCTAACTGAATTACAAACAATAGGTATTAGAGCAAAAAACAGAATCCAAAAGTATTTTATTATTCCTGAAACATAAACATCTAAAAGATCTAAATACTTGGGGTTTTTTTAATGTGAACATATGGAATGTTACCTACTTATTTAAAAAGCACAAAAGTGAGTAAGTAGGAGTGAATTCCTACCTTTAGCTTGAGTTATTCCATAGATAATGATGAAATACTTTTTTTGCAGCTATTTGTGGTTGCAGGAGGAACTTGAGTTTTGAAGAACATATGGCAAATACAAAATATTTGCAATACCAGTTGTCTCCAGAGTTTTCTGCAATACTTGTCCAATGAGAATTCAGTTTCTAAATTAGTGGTATGTCAATCTGAACATAAGTCGTGTTAGATTACTTTTCTGGAGTGAGCAAATGTCTCTTTATGACCTTCTTGTGCTGAAGGAAGAACTCATCAAGGTGAGGTGGTTGGAAACTGATGCCGTTTACAGTAAGCGTTTTCACACTTCTCTGCTCCAGGCAGTGGGTAACAATATCAATATTTTAATTATGGTGCTGTTGAACATTCTGCATGGTTTGATACTATGCAATAGTACAGAGCTTTCAGTAGAGCAGAATTCTCTGCTCTTACACACTTCACAATCTTTGCAATATCTGTATCAATAGTCTGTAATGGTTTTTGGATCTACCTGAAAAGAAGGAATACATTTGGGGTGTACAACAGGGAACATGTGTGCTATTGAACAAAAGATAAAAATGGGGTTTTTAACAGGCAAAACCAGGATTTCTTAAAAAGAGAGGTGGGAAAGCAACCTTATTTGGACAAATGACCAAGCATTTATTAGATGCTTCAGATGGTCTAGAAAAACAGGTAAAGTCAAACAAGAATCCAAATACCAATCTCTGTTTCCCATTTTTTCCCATTTTATTAAAGTACCTGTTTTCATATTAATGACAGTTTCCCACATGTGTTGCTTACTTGTGACTTAAGTAAATGATTTTGTATCTGCAACCCCACGAAGAAATAGGCTTCACAGGAAGAAAAGATTTATAGAAGCAAGGGAGAAAACCTGCAGAAGTAGTGCTATGTTTATACACATGATGGCATCCCATTTTTTCTTGGATGAGCCAAACTGTACAAAGTAAGTCTGTGACAATTTTTTTTTCCTTCCCAAAATTGGGAATAGTTTAATGGCATCTCACAATATCCATCATCTTGATGGCTTACAGGATTATTGAGGCTGCATTCCATTTGTGATACTGGTGTGAGCTTGTTGCTATTGGCATCAATGGGCTCTGGTTTCTTCTCAGTAGAACAGAATCTTTCTCCTGTCCAAGGATGGAGTTATGTTGCTATGAATAGTAAAGCCTGAACTATACTTCAGATGAACTGATACTTATTGAAAACTGAAGCAGATTAAAAAAAGCATAAAGACCTGCAGCAAGAGATACCACCTAATTCACCACAGATTAAATTGCTAAACTGTGGCACGTACTTTTCTCTAGAAAGATGAACTCAATTATATTAATTTTTAGGAATGTTACTTTGCCCTGTGTTTCTGTATACATAAATGGTATAGAATTAATAGAGCCTAAAATTGCCTAAACAAGGTGACTAAACAGTGTGGTCCTGGTGACTGAACGACTGTTGTTCTAGCAGCTAGTTATGCAAGGAGCTATCTTGATGTCCAAGGTGCATATCTAAATACTATTTATGTTTTTCATTTGTCTGGCCCATTGGGACCAGCTGTAGGGTGAACAAAATGCTGCCCTAGCATAGTATTGATTTTCCATTATTCTTGACAGTCTTTTGTTTCCCTTCTAGCCTGTAATGCTGGAAAAAGTAACCTTATAACAGGAAACAGATCACCAAGCTGTGTTAGAAGTTAGTCAACTGTATGGACATGTATCCTTATTTTTGGTTTTTCATTTTTGTCTTTATTGTGTTACTTATCTGCTTCTTCAGCCATATTTCAAAATGTCTCAATATTGCCATATTTAGGCAGGGGTAGTAATAAACAAGGGACATTCCTAGTAGGTTCATTGTGCCCTTTAATTTTTATGTGGCTTGATCTAAACAAAAAAAGGTAAAATCTTACTATTATTCTGATAAAGCCATCTTTTGATTTTTGCTATTAATGGAAACTGCATGAGTGGCCAAAATGATTCAAAGGTAATCCTTAGACAAGCACACATAAAATTATTTACTTATAGGGTGGCCACAAATTTTAGACCGATATTTTCTGTTTCTCATTTTTGCTAGGCTTTTAGCTACATGGTGGATGCAATGATAGTAAGCAGAAATGTCTTTTTAAATAGCTGTATTCCTAGGTGACATGCAATGCCAGGTATTCTCATTGAAAAGAGCATTCAAAGAAAACATTTATGGTCAGGTAATTTTAAGTAACCTGCAATGAAATGGCACTCAGCTGATTTTATAGTAGGTTTAAACATACATGTACATATATAAACATATATTATATACATATATATATATGTTTAACTTTTAGAAAGTATTGATTGAGGAAAGCATTGATTAGCAAAAAGTAACTGAAGAGGTGAAGCATTAGTTTCAGTCTTGGTGCCTAGCTGTCAGCCAAAGGAAAAGCACATTTTCCTTTAAGCATAATCAAGTACTACTTTCAGTGCTCTTGCCTTGGACCATTTGCCTGTCATAACAAATTCCTCGTGTACAATCTCAGTCTAAGTTCCTGTGGTTTTATTGCCATTTTTTATACAAAATTGAAACCTAGGTATCATGCTTTTACCTGTCTATATGTCTAGTGTTACTTACATGCCCCTAATAAAATGAAGAAAACTTCTGAACTTTCCAAGCTCAGACCTACACTTAAACTACCTGGCTACCAAGGTTTCTGTTCAGTAGCTTTTGCTTAGCAAGTTTCAGCTTACTAGAACTATCATTAAAAGAAATTCAATTTTCTAAGTCAATAATATATTAAGATTCTATACATAGAGTAAAAATGAAAGCAACTTAATTTTCTTTGGTTGTAGCTTTTATTTAAACAGAAATTACATGAGTAAAGAAGTACCCTTCTCTGCAGTCTTTTCAAAATGAATTTAAGAAAATATTTAAATTTGCAAAATAGAGAAGGATGCTGAGAATAGTTTTATAATAAATCACTTAGGTCAGTTTAAACGATAAAAGGAGTTAACATTATACCAGTGTTAGCCTCTAAAAAGATAATCAGCTGTTACAATTTCCCCCATTTTCTGTCTCACTTGCCAGACTTCAGGCCTGAAATGTGTTTTCCTGGGCATGAAACCTGCAGAGCAAAACAGGAGTGAGCCTTGGATGGCTGCTGTCCCTGTCCCCACCAAAAGCATGTGCCATGCCTTGGCAAGGTGAAGCTCTTTCACTCTAGTTTTTCCCCTTGGTAATGTGGGAATAATGTCACTCATTTTCTCTTAGAAAACACAGACTCCAAATATTCATGTGCTTTGTTGGAAAGAGATCTCTGAAAGCTGTGAGATTATTTGATCCATAATAGTTAGGGTTTCTTGCCAACCTTAAATACCTGAATTTCTTGCACTAGTAATTTTAGCCATTAACTTTTCTTTATTTTGCTTTACCAGGTATGCTGTCTATACACTAATTGCTGCTGTTTCCAACACACAGGGGCAAAATAACAAATTTTTTTATGCCAGACACAGCTATGGAAAATAGAAATATGTGCTTAATGACTGAAACTCAGCTAAGGTTAGTGCATTCTCTTTGCACTGCAGCTGAATCCTAATGATAGTGTCCAAAACTGGCACAGTAAACCACGGTGCTAGGTGTCCTCATTTAATGGGTGGGGAAAGAGTCTGGAATATTTTTAATCAAACATTTCTGGATCTAGGTGTCACCTTATTTCTGCAATCCACAGCAAGGCTTGGAAAGCTGCAGTTTTTCAGACAAGTTTGTTTCCAAGTGCAAAACAAAGATCTTTCTCTCCTCTTCTGACCCACACATCTGCCAGCTGCAATATTGTCAGAATGGAGGGTGACATGCTTTAATTTTATTCTCCCAGAGGATGCACAGGTACATAAATTCACACCTGCTTGCCCCAGGGATGCAAGAACCCCACTGACATTTTTAGTGTCAGGATTCCTCCTTCTTATACTTTGGATTTAATTTAAGATCTGTGTGGAGGTAGAAAGCTGAATGTGTGCACAAAGCATGACCACAGCTGACCCAGCACTGCTGTGTTGAAAAGGGCAGTTTTTAACAAAGCCATGTAGAGAAAGGCAGGGATGTCTTTTCCAGACTACAGATGGCACAGGAATGACTCCTGTTCAAATTCCTCCAAGGAGTATATGGTGCACGTCCCACGAAGGGGACATTCCCCAAACAGCTCATTCCATCATTGATCTGTAGGCATAGAAAAAATGAGTTTTTTGAGCATTGAAAGCCCAGACCAGAAAAACAGCATA